AACTTTTAATTAGTACCTACCTTATAACAGAACACGACAAAAGTATACTTAAGTTCAAGATTAGATTCTAAAGCCAATTTAGCATTTTTTTTAAACTCAATCAAGTTTGAGAAGGTAAAAAGTTTTACTTTTTAATGTTTGTTTACTTAAATTCAAATTTTATTTGCAGTTTATTATATCTGTCATAATCGATATGGATTCAAATTTATCTAGCGATAGCGAATTTGATAATACTCCCCCAGATATCTTATGCAGTGCACAAAAGGCCATTGAAAATTTATTGCCAGAAAAATCTGCATATATTTATCAGCAAAAATACAATGCATTTATAGAATGGTGTAGGAAGAATAAGGTGACAAAATATTAGGAAAACGTTATTTTAGCATATTTCTCTGATGAATTGAAAAATTGCAAAGCTTCTACCCTATGGTCGATTTATTCTATGCTTAAAAGCACCTTAAAATATAAAAACAACGTTGATATTTCGAAATTCAACAAGTTAATAGCGTTTTTCAAACAAAAAAATAAAGGTTATAAACCAAAAAAATCCAAAATTTTTAAACGAGAAGATCTAATTAATTTTCTGTTGAAAGCTCCAGATTCCAAGTTTTTAATGATCAAAGTAAGTAAATGCCTCAGTAAATGCTTGAATGTTCAGTATAAAATTAAAATATTCTGTAAAGTTTTGCAACGAGATGTGTGTTCGTATGGTGTGTTGCCTAACAAAATCAGTTGCTGTCCTAACAGGCCACCGGGGTTGTTAGGCAGCACATTATACCTAAAACTTTTATATTTTTTACAATAGCATTTATTTGGAGTTTTACATGCGCAACGTCAAGATATTTCCTAATGTTTAATAAATTATTTGTAACATTACAATATGTTATTTTTTAGGTAGCTTTTATAATTGGAATTGCGGGAGCTTGTCGCCGGGAAGAATTATGTAAAATGACAATTAACGATGTGGAAGATAAACAAACAGTGTATATTGTCAAAGTATCAGAAACCAAAAATGGAATAGAACGCATTTTTACGATTTTAAATCCAAATAATTCTGCAGTTGATTATTTATCTTTCATAAAAAAATATACTTCATTAAGACCATCAAATATAAATTGTAACAGATTTTTTTTTAAATTCGCAAATGGAAAATATTCTAAACAGCCTGTAGGGATAAATACTTTTGGTAAAATGCCAAGTGTTATAGCAACGTATCTAAACTTGCCCAATCCTACGGCTTTTACAGGACACTGCTTTAGGAGGTCTTCAGCCACTATGCTGGCAAATTCTGGAGGAGACCTTCTAACGGTCAAAAAACTTGGAGGATGGAAATCATCTGCTGTTGCAGAAGGCTACGTAGACAGCACAATAACACAAAAAAACAAAATTTCTAATAAAATTTTGATGGATGACAGTATGCCATCCACTTCCAAACAAAGCTACAATTTTACCGTTGACAACTCTAATGAAGAATTAGTGGAACCACTCGACAGTGAAACTAGAGTTACACAAAATATTTCAACCTCTTTACTTAAAAAGGCCAAATCCATACCACTCGAAGCTCAAAATAGGGTTACAGAAGTAATATCACAACATTTTTCAAACTCTGTGCTGGAAAAGACCAAAACCTTAAGTTTTGGTAATTGCAATAATTGCACATTCAATATTAATATTCATAAGAGTTAAAAACCTATTTTTTTAAATATTTCTTCATTTGTTAGTCATTTTGTTCTGTAAGAATTATAAATTTGTAAAGTTCCAATAAATTTATTTTTGTTGCTGTGTACAATTTTTGGCACATTTTACTTGTTTTCACTAGTGCGCCTACGGCTCGTGCGACAACATTCACATTCGTCAAAAAAGGGTAACTTTACACACTTGTTGCATAAATAACTATTGTACAAGTAACATGACGCAATTTCGATGAAATTCATATGTAGGTATATCTACCATATTTCGTTAAATAAAAAAAATACCAACTTTAGTTACACCAAATGCTGAAATTCAGATGGGTATTAGTTCAGTTTATCGTCCTTTTATAATTTTAGGTCACTAAAGGTGGTAGAAATGGGTTTGGTCAGCATAATTTTAATTGTTAAAAAAAATTTTTTCTCAAAATTTTTGTCAAAATTTGGGTATAATCTTCCAGCTTGCGACACCACATGCTAATGTCAACAGTGTATCTACAGCTATAAGTATGACTTATGCGCTTGGCCAGCATGGAAGTATATATTTTTACATTTTTTACAATGTTTAAAAAAAACTGAAAAAACAAAAACACCATTCACACTGCCCAATTCATACAAGTTTAAAATTCTAAAGCTAAAATAATAGATAATATTTGAGGCAGAAACTGTATCAGATTGTTTTCAGCAATAAGTTGATTAGTGTCATCAGCATAACCAACGGTAGTTACTCTAGGTGTTGGACATGAGTATTCTAAGTCGCTCATAAACAAGATGAAAAATAGTGGGGCTAAAACTGAGCCCTGGGGAACTCCTTCTGTTATTAGCCCGGAAGCGGATTTAGCATCTACAATCTGAGATCTTCCCCGCAGATAGGATACAGCCCAGTCATTCGTGACACCTCGAACGCCTATGCAATACAGCTTTTCTAAGAGAAGATCATGATCTACAGTGTCAAATGCTCTACTAAGATCAAAATAAAGAGCTAGTGGATATTTTTTATCATTTAGGTGATTATAGACATTATTGCAGACTTCACTTATTGCAGTTTCTGTTGACCTCTTTTTTCTAAAGCCATGTTGCCAGTTGGGTATTAGTCCCTTCTGTTCTAAAAAGTTGGTTAATCTCATATTGTAGCTATAGTCAACGATTTTAGCAAATTGCGACTGTATACTAATATTTCTGTAGTTGCTAACCTGGTTTACGGACCCTTTATTCTTAAATATGGGTATTGATTTTGATATTTTCAGTACATTCGGATAGATGTCCATACAAAAAGACTTATTAATTATGTGTGAAAGTGGATATGATATAATGTCACTTACTGCTTTTATAGCTTACCCATGAACTCCATCATTCCCTGGTGTTTTTTTAGTTGTTTTAGATATGATCTCCTCTATCTCATAAGGGGTAAGAGATAAAGTGAAAATTGAATGAATGAGGATGTAGATTTAACACATGTGTGACTGGTTTCTGTGCTTTATTATCCAGAAAAAATCATTAAAATTATTTCTTGTTTCATTGATAATTTTCCAGCTTTCTTTACTGACATTTTTAGAGTTTTTGATTCTATTGTTTTATATATTATTTTTAAGTCTTTATATCTATTTTTAATAATTTCATTGTTTGTTGAGTTTGCTAATTTAGATAAATCACAAAGGGTTTGATGGAGTCCTTTAATTTCGTTGGTAATCCATGGCTTTGTTTTTGTTTTCGTTTTCTTTATTTTTATTTTTACCAGTGGAAAAGCATTTAAATAGTGAAAATTAAAAATAGAATAGAACTCATTAAAAGCATTGTTAATATCAGTGATTGGATTGTAAATTTTTTCCCAAGATTCGTGCAGTATTGAGTGTATTGGACAAATTTTTTTTTACCATTTTATTGGCATTTGTATTTTTGACAAAAAAATTTTTTAGAAAGAACCAGTGCCAAAGATATTTCTATATTCTAATAAGTTAAATCTTAAAATTAATTTGGACAACCAGTATAGCGTAGACAATTATTACCTAACCTAATCTAACCTTACAGATTTAATTCTTCCTCGAAAATATTATTTATCCTCAAAACTTTCGACATTATTTTAATGCAACATTGTTGTGTCTATCAGAATTGTTTACAAGAGCGAGCAATCAAGGCGTAGATTATATTAAAAAGAGAAAGGGCGATAGTCATTGACATACCTCCGAACGGTTTGCTAATTTGATTTTATTTTTTTGTTTATTTAATCCTTTTCCCGTCAGTCTGACTATAATGCAATATGCAACTACTATAATATACTTGTTTGTCATCTTCGGAATAAATTACGGAATTACAAAAAAAGGTATGGCGCTGTCTGTGTACGGATAAAAATGTGATTATTAGTAGACGTCTGAAAAAACTGATGATAAACTGATTATAAATTGATAAAAAAAACCGCAAAACAGTCTGGACGCGGTCAGAAACAGTGCCGGATACCGGATTTAATACAGACGGGGGAGGCTTTTTGTATTTATATTTTATATACAAATAGGTATTTTTATTTAACACGTTGACTGACAGTGATAACGACGGTTTCAAATCAATATTTCGTAAGTCCAAATTAAACATTCTAGACGAAGAACATTAAACTGTCTTGATAGCTTAATAAAGCCAATTAATTATTTTATAAATAATGTTGGCAAGTAAATAAATATATCAGTAACCCATGAACGTGGTTATTTTTTTATTTTTAAAATTGTGTTCTTAATTAATTTGTATAGATGGGGAAAAGTAAAAATTCGAAATTACGGTATTACGAGGTATTTATTTGAAGCCATCGATAACATTCTTGGAGATGAAATTTTTTGTATTATCAATTTTTTTCTTTCTAGATTTTTCTCAGAAATAATTAAAGTTAAAAAATTGAATATGTCTGTAAGATATTCCCAAAAAAAATAAATAATAATATGGGTATCAAATGTAAAAATTATCCATAAAATCATATTTATATAACAGAAAAGAATTGTCGTGATGTAAATGAGAGCACGTCTGTCTTCTATCGAAGCACAGACTTCTCTGGAGTTTTGTATCGTTCGAAAGAAAGATATACATATATGCCTACATGACTAAAACTAGTTAGCATTGAGTGATCCACGCCGATGCGAACGCGATTATTGTCACGTACACTTTTATTTACGGTTGCTAATAATGAACATTTGGATTCGCGAGCATAGGACCGTCTTTGCTAGGGGTCCTCTGAATTCGTTTTGACTATTTCAAATTCAAATTTGACACTATTCCTTAATTTTCTCACACACAGTAAATACGAAAAATAATGCAAAATACGACCCTCACCTGTTCTGCATCTCGTATATGCAACCTCGATGACGTGAAGGGATGCTCTTCGCCGTCAGGCATTTCTATACTAGGCGGTAAATTAATTGTAATATCGGTATGCGTGTCGACGGAGTGCAGCCTCATCTGGCGATGCTCCCTGGTCGCCGCCGCTGCTGTCAACTCCCTGGCGCCGGACCCGGGGCCCCCACCGCCACCCCCGAGCCGGTCCATGCCGCCACCCATGCCCGCCGCCGTCACGCCGGCGCTCACCACTGACAGCATCTGGAAACAAACAAACAAAAATTAAAAATTTACAAATAAAAAGTGAAGGTTAACAATTATTTTCGTACTACTAGATTTTTGACATCTGTCAATGTCAAGAAAGTATTCCTTACTGTACATAAATAACTATTTTATACAGAAGGAGTAAAATACTACTTTTACGTACGCATCTGAATTCAGTTATAGAATATTAAAAATTTTGGTTTCTTGAAAGTAAACCTATAATACTCTTCACAGACTACTGTTAGAAGAGTATAATAACAAGGAGGATTATAATATGTTGTTAAAAATAGGAACGAGAAATCAGTCTATTCGGAATAGCGTGTAGATAATTTTTGAAAAAAAATCAAGAGCCGCTTACAAAAATTGCAAAAGTTATAAGCAAAAAACTAAAAAAAAGTAACACTTATTTTTAAGTTACCATATTTTTTGGACATAATTAATGTTATTGTTTAATGTTTATTTTGTTAATTTATTTTTTTTTTTTTCGATGCTACGCCCGTATTCAAAATTATTTAAACTTTCACAAAATTACCCCATTTTTCTAAAAGTACACCACTTTTTAAAATAATGACCCTATTGTTTCGGATGTTACACCCTTATTCTCTATATTTTTTTATTTTTCAAAAAGTGCCGCAATTTAACCAAAAAATTTCCCATTTATTTCTGAAGTTACTCTTTTTTCAAAATTATCTGAATTCTCCCGATCCCTCAATTTCTCAATTCTCCACCAAATTTCCCCCTTAATTCTCTCCTTCCTTGAAAAAAATATCTAAAATTTTCCCAATTTCCCTCAATTTCCCCATTCTCATCCCTCTTCATTCCCCTAAAATAATTGTACAACAAAAAAAATCCCCCACCTCAAAAAAATTCAGATCAAATCTGCTCATAAATAAATAAGGATTTTAAAAATATTTTTTATTGTACGAAAAGACAATGGCGTGCTACTGACTGTCTGTAAAAATATTTAGGACGGTATTATTTGCGTTGTTACTGATTATAATCAAGAATTTTTTTTTTCTTTTTCGTTAAAAAAGTTTCTAAGATATCTAGTCTTCAGGCACCAATCTGTGACCACAGGATATTTATGATTTTTTATGAGACTGTTCTTTTTTTAAAATGAAAAATAACCTATTTTTTCTGACGTTATTCAATTTTTAAAAAATTATTTTAAATTTTCCAAAATATTCTCACTTTTTCAATTACCCCTTTTTTTAAATTATCCCTTAAAAAATACTTTATATTTTCCGAAACTACACACTTTTTTCATAATTAGTTCAATTTTTTTTTTAACTACTGCAATTTTTCTAAAATTACGCCACTTTTTGGTTATTTTTTAAATAGAGTAATTGTTTTGCTTTTTTCGAAGCTACACCTCTTTTAGTCACTTTTTTTAATTTTTCCAAAATTACCCCGCTTTTATGAAAGTAACCCTTTTTTTATTTTATTTTTTCCATATTTATTTAAATTTTTCCAACAAGTACCACAATTTTTCCAATTTACTACTCTTTTTAAAATAATTATCCCATTTTACCTGAAGTTGTACCTTTTTTTTAAATTAATTAAATTTCCCACCTCCCCATTCTCCCCAAAATGCCCCCAGCCCAACAAATTTCCTCAATTTCTCCTTTCTCCATCAAATTTTCCCCTTCATTCCACCACCCTATAAAAATACTCCAAATTCTCCCAACCCTTCCTCAATTTCTCCATTCTCTCACAAAAACCCCCATCTGTCTCCATTTCCCTTAAAAGAGTACCTAAAAAAAATCCCAGCCCCCCCCCCCTCCTCCTTAAAAAAGATCAAATCTGCTCATAAATATTGTTTGGTAAGAAAAGTCAATGGCGTACCATTGTCTGTAATAATATTTAGGACTATATTAATTAGGTATTTATTATATAACAGGAAGCTCTTATACGATCTCTCAGCTCTTCTAGAGTGTTTACTGGGATGCGGTATACCAGAGTTTTAAGATGTCCCCATACGCAAAAATGTAAACTATTTAAATCTGGGGACCTAGGGACCCGAATAAACAGTTCTTTTGACCGTTGACATAACTTTTAAACTAACTATAACTCTAATGTTTTATGTTTAATTTTACAAATTAAGGAATTCTGTTTTTGTTTTTAGTATGTCGTTTTTTAATAAAATGTTTATTATTTATTGTTATGTGAGCCATTTCATTATTCAGTCATGCTCTAACCCTACAAGTCCCTCTCTGTCTTATTTGGCCTTTGAGGCTCAACTTGTCCGATTATTATACATAATTAAACCCCTTAAGACCAAACCTATGAAACGACTATGGCGGAGGTGATTTCGATGACTATTCGAGAAAGGACGAGATAATATTTCTGGTCTGTTCCAAATATTTCTATGTAGTTTCTAGACTCCACCAAACTTTAGAAATTTGTATATAAATATTGGTGGAAGAACACAGTGCAATCAGTTATTATATGGACAGTGAAGATAAATAGTCAACAGTTTTAAGACATTCGAAATATATATATATAAATTAGAATAATAGTGTTATAAAATAAATAAGTGTTTAAATAAATTATTTACAAATAAACTGTTATTTGAAAATAAACAAACTTCACATTATTTTATAGGTTGAGAAATTTATTTTGTCGGAATTTTAAAAAAATGTTTGGAATTTTTATTAGTTGTGCCAGGAAATTGCGTTTTTGAATAAGGCAAACCTGACACTTCATCTGAAGGTAAAAAAAAGACCCTTAATTCTTTCCACCTCCAATACGGCGATTTTTCAGAATTATTTGAAATACATAACTGTTATTTACCGTGACAGAAACGCATTTATTTATGTTTTAGTCTCTTATTTTACAACTTTTTCCATAATACTTTTTCATTGTCTACCTTTTCTAGCGTACTTAAAAGACGCGACAGAGGATTTAAAAATCGCAACATCAACGATCCTTTCGAACTTCTAGTCGGAGTTCGAGTTGAGTGGGAATAGTTGAAAGTGGTCGTTTTATATCGCCGTCTTTTTTGCCTAGACATGTACATTAATAAAAACAAAACCGTAGTTGCAACTTGCAATGCAACTGCAGGAAATTTGAAAGAAGAGTAAAAGAGTAAGCAATATAGACAGCACACTCATTTGTCTGGTAACCGGTGGTCGCAACAACCGGACCAATTACTATAAGGCAGGACCGTACGGCCGTTAAATGTGGTCCTGTAAATTTAATTAAAATTGGTATATTATAACGGGTAGGAAATTTAAATTTGGCACCATCAAACCGATATGATGGTGGACAGTCCACAAGAGATACCTTACATAAAAGCTTGTTTTTTAGTTTTTATGGAGGTATCTTGCCAAATTTTTTAATTTTTTTCCTATTGTTTAAAAAATTGTTATAAACAAATGCGTTGTTTATAAGATAATTTATTTTTTTTTATTAAATAATCAACCTTGCACATGATTGCAACTTAAAACAAATTGTCGAAATAATCAAACAAAGTTTTATGTACAGGGTGTTATTTAAATAATTAATTAGGAAAAATATGAAATACGAAGCGTGACAATACTGAGGTGAAGTTGGAGGAATTTAGGTAATTTTGAAAAAAAGAGTGTAACTTCAGAAATAAATAGGGTACTTATTATTATTTTTAAAAATTGTAGTATTTTTTGAAAAATAAAGCAAAATAAATGTGAATATATTGGGTAATTTAAAAAGAGTGTAATTTTTTAAAACAAAAAAGTATTCTAAGAAAATTGTTAACACCCTATTTAAAAAAATTAACAAAAAGGGAGTGTAACTTCGGAAAAAGTAAAGCAAAAATTACCCAATTTAAAAAAAAATTAAAAGTGGGTAATTTTGAAAAAAATATAATATTTTTTTAAAAAATAAAACAAATTTATTACGGAGAAAGAGTGTAGCTTCGGAAAAAATGTTTTTTTTTTAATAGTAAGGTAATTTTGGAAAAGTGGAATTATTTTGGAAAACTTGAAATAATTTATTTGAAAATAGGATGACTTCGGAAAACGGGTAAGTCTTCTAAGAAAATTATTAATATCCTATGTTTTAAGAGAACTGAATTGACAAAAAGGAAGTGTAGTTTAAAAAAAAAAACGAAGCGAAAAATAAAAAAAAAATGGGTAATTTTGGAAAGTTGTAGTATTTTTTTGAAAAAATAGAATAATTATAAAAAAGGGTGTAGATTCAGAAAAAAATAGAGTTATATTTGAAATATTAAAAAAAAATTATTGGGTGATTTAAAAAATGAGGTAATTATTTTCAAAAAAGAGTTAATTTTTTAAAATGGAACTGTCTTAATAAAATCATTATTCTGTTTTGCGAAAATTGAAAAAAAATTACAAAAAGGGAGTGTAGCTTCGGAAAAAGAGAAGCAAAAATTATCCAATTAAAAAAATTGAAAAATTGGGTAATTTTGGAAAAATTGTATTATTTTTTGAAAAAATAGGATAAAATAATTATAAAAAGAGTATAGATTCGGAAAAAATAGGGTTATTATTTTTTAATTAGTAAGGTAATTTTGGAAAGGTGAGATTATTTTGGAAAACTTGAAAAAAAAATTTAAAAATGGGATAACTTCGGAAAAAATTTGGTAATTTAAAAAATGGGTCTTCTAAGAAAATCATAAATATCCTATGTTTTGAGAAAATTGAATTGGCAAAAAGGGGGTGTAGCTTCGGAAAAGGCGAAGCAAAAATTACCCAATTTAAAAAATTAAAATATTCGGTAATTTTGAAAAATTAAAGTATTTTTTGAAAAAACAGTATGAAAAAAGGGTTATTTTTTAATAAACTGAAGTAATTTTGGAGAAGTGGGATTATTTTGAAAAACTTAAAAAAAGTTTTTAAAGAATAGACTAATTTCGGAAAATATTGGATAATTAAAAAATGGTTTTTTTTTTTTCAAAAAAGAGGTAATTTTTTAAAACAACAGTTTTCTAAGGAAATCATCAATGTCCTGTTTTAAAAAAAATTGAAAAAAAAAATTGACGAAAAGGGTGTGTAGCT